AGCATTGATGGACTCAAGCGTGGCAATAGTAGTGAGGTTGGTTCAGGATCAGGCAGTGTTTTGTTCTGCTGTGCATAAGGTCGCTATGGGTTGGTACCCACTCGATGGCACCTAACAACAACAACAAATATATATATTTAAATTTCTTACAATGAACATGTAGCATAGAAAAAAATACAGATTGGCGACAGAAAAAATAATTAGAAGAGAAAAGAAATCTTCATTACTGACTATTGCCACACCAGCAGCCAATTCCCATGTGAAGCTATATTAACTTCTGAAGTTTAAGCACGCTCATTCACTATGTTCTTCACCTTTTGTGACAGCACCAACTCCACCTTTCCACTCATTTCATTTTCTGGTTTCCTCTGATCTTCTTCTGGCACATTGTTTTTTAGCTGGGGACTGGAGGAAAACTCCACAAAGGCCACAGTTGGGCTGGATCGAGTCACGGTTGTTGTGAAATTCTGTGGCTCTAAAATGACATTACATTCAGAAAAACAAAGAAGAAAAAGAAAGCATATAAAAAGGTTAATTTATCCTATAACTTCACAAAGTGCATTCATTCCTGATCCTGCCCTGACGATAAGAAGTTGGCTTACTGGGGAATTCTGGTAAGTAAATATGCCATGGTTCTGGCCCTCTCCCACAAACACAAGGAAATGGTGTTCGGCTTTGAGGGACACTGAATTGGAGAGTAGAGGAAAGGAGCAGGGAACTGCAGACAGGCAAGTATCAATGAGTTACATACATATGGTAGGAACATCTCTTTCCCACTATCTCTGCACACCCCCAACCCGCAGACTACTGGGAACTGGAGTTGTGGTGCCAGAAAAGGAGCTTGTTTCCCTAACCATCAGCCCCTGTCTGCACAAAGAGGGCTGGGCAGCGGAGTCTGCACTCACACTCAGCACTCTACCTGCCTTGTTATGCACACCCTAGCTCAAGCCAACAGGACAGAACTCTTAATGAAGGGTCAGGGAACCTTTCTCCTGCCAGGGGCCATTTGGATATTTATAACATAAATATGTGGGCCATACACAATGATCAACTTAAAAATGAGCATGCTATATTTGGTCAAACATTTAATCAATTCACCCCTAATATGACGGCTGGAATTGTGATTGCCTTGGCAGGGCCAGACCAAATGATTTTGCAGGCCGGACGATCCCCACTCCTGTCTTAAAGAGTCAGTTCTGGACTCTCTGCTCTCCACCTCAGTCAGTGCTAAGGAATGCTGACTGAGGTTGCTCTGTGCTAAAAAGCAGGCAACTTGAGTGGAGCCTATACCTACCATCCAGCATACCCTGGGTGAGGCTCTGAGAACAGCAAGGTCTTGCCCAGTGCTCTGTGGTGTGCCAGCACCTTCTCCACCTAGACACTCTTGGCTGTAGACTTCCCCACATGCCCCATAGCTCTGGCCTCTGAAACCAAGACAAACCTCCATGGGGTTAACCAGGGTTAGTCTACCCCCACTTCTAGTTGATGCTGAGAACTGCTGTGTGAGGTGGTTGGGTGGTAAGAAGCAGGAATCTTGAGGGGAGGCTGTGTTCACAGTCAACGATCTACTGTGAGGGGGACTCTGATAGCAACAAAGACAGACCTCCATTTGTGATCTGAAAATGCAATTTTATAGAATTTTAATAGAATTTTAAATTCTCATAGACTCTAGACTTTCTGGAGCCATGGAGAGTGGATGAATCCCCCAAATACTGCCAGGTGAAACCTTAAATGGAGTCCTGGTGTAGTACTGTAGGACAATGTATTAGACTGCAAAGTCGGCTTGAACCTCAAGGTTCAAGTTCACCAGCTGCTCCTCGGAAACCATATACAGGGTGGCTTGAGTCAGAACCAACTCAACAGCACTTAACAACAACAAAAACCTTAAGTATTCCCTGAAGTTATCTTAAACCCAGACAATAATTTACTTCAGCAACTAAAAATGGTCAGCTTTAAACATTGTTTTCTTTTTAAGAACTATTTCTATATATGGGACCAAACTGATCGCCTTAACCCAACAGTCTAGATAGGAACCTTAGGGGACAATGAGTTGATGTTACCGAGGGAGGAACAACCTAGAAAAGGAGGGTGAGAATAACATCACAACTCGAATGTCACCAAAGGCACGAAATTTACATGTGGAAAGTTGAACTGGTATAGGCTTTGCTGTAGATTTCCTGAACAACCAGAACAACCAAATAAATAACATTTAGAATAAAAAAAAAAGCTGGGTTACAGTGTGGTGAGCAGTATAAATGAGTCTAAAATGTCTGAATTCTCAAAGCTCTTTCATGATCTTATAAAACAACAAGAAATACGAAGTACTTCAAATAAGCCATCTGGCACCTCAACGTCAAAATTTGAAGCTCAAAGTAAGAGTTACGGTTTCCACCAGAGTGAAAACACAGGAAACAAAATGGTGGCAGGAAATAGATAATGATTTTGAAAGCTGGGATGGATGAAAGAGCATCTACAAATAATGTCTTCCCAAGTGAATGAGGTAGCCCACTCTTTGCCTCTGCATTTCAGTGCCTTCATTACAAGGTACTTTATGGGCACTTTTAATGTCACATTTTCACAAGTGGATGGTGTATATGTACAATTAAAATAAAGCGTCTGCTGATGCATAAGAAGAATTCGGTACACTTTAGAGTGGGTAGACAAGGCACCACCTCAGGAAACAAATCAACATACAGAGGGACCATCCAGTTTAAAAAGCTTACGGTAAAAAAAAAATTTTTTTTTTTTAGCAATGACATTTAATTTACTCTCAAATGTCATTCAGTTTACTATTAAAAGTCATTTTAATAGAATTTTGTATTAGAATAGGGTGGTGGTGTGCCATGGAGTTCTGTATAGGATTTCTGTGGCTGTAAATCTTTATGGGCGCAGAAAGCCTCATCTTTCTCCAATGGAACAGCTGACCATGTGATTACTAACTCGACTGTTAAACATTACACTACCAGAGTTCCTTTAGAATAGGGTAGGAGAATTAACATAGAATTGTTGGTGTTGTTAAGTGCCCTCGAGTCAGGTCCGACCCATAGCAATCCTGCATAGGGTTTCCGAGAATCAGCTGGTGAGCTTGAACCGCCAACCTTGCAGTTCAAATGGCTTTGCAGTCTGGCGCATTAACCCACAGCACCACATCAGGACTCCTTTTGTTATATATTGTTGTTGGTGTTGTTAAGTGCCATCGAGTCGGTTCCAACCCATAGCGACCCTGAACAGGGTTTCCGAGGCTGTAAATCTTTACGGGAGCAGAAAGCCTCATCTTTCTTCCGCGGAGCAGCTGGTAGTTTCGAACTGCTGACCTTGCGGTTCGCAGCCTGATTCGTAACCACTACGCTACCAGAGCTCCTTTTGTTATATATAGTCACCACAATAAATCTAAAAAATGACAAAAAAACTGGGCTTTCTTGTTTTAACTGTATATTCAGAATTTCATCAAGAAGCCTGTAGGTGGCAGTACAACCACACTAGTCAGACACTAACCTTTTTTGTTATTCAGTTCGAGATATTTTTCTTTATCAAGATTTATCCTAAAAACAGAATGTCATGAAACAAACCTGATGAGGCAAACTCTGTATTCCCTTTTTCTGGTTTTCCATCATCATTCATATCCTCTCGACTGCTCGGATCAGTTTTCTCAGTGGTTGCCTGTAAAATATTTTTTTCCCTTATAAATCGGCTCTTTTAAAAAAAGACTCTAAAAAGGTATGTTGAGAGCGATTTTTAGGCTACACAGTTGATTTTTCATATGAATGCATTCTTAAAATTTTGATTATATATATGTATTTCCCCCCCTTTGGCATTCGAAAGTTGTTTGAAACTATAAATTGCTTCTATAATCAGAAAATAAAATCAGTGTAATTGTAGATAGTCTTCAATTAGAACTAAATGACTCCAGAATGTAGTCCAAACTTTTTCCAGTAGTTATTTGATAAAAATGAATAAAAGGCTTAAAGAAAACAAGATAATGATTAATGTGCTTTTTAAGTTGAAATTTATTGTTGTGGAAGGGATTAAATTGATATTTGTTTTAATATGTGTAAAAGATTTAAAAATAAAGGCTAAAATTTGAATAAAAATATTATTAAATTCTTTATAAAATATCCCCATAGGTCCTTTAAAAACTATGGATTTATTGATTCTCATATCAATCGAAATCTAAAAATCTGTATCTCACATAACCAAACGAAAGCCTTTTAAAGTTAATGCATTGGTTGAAATTGTCATAAAATTCTTTTTTAAAAAAATAAGTTTTAAGTAACAAATCTTTCAAGCTAATGAAAGATTTCACAATAGCAACCAGAGGCAAAGAATGTGTTTTTTTATTGGAAGATGGGGCAGTTTTGAAGTCCTCATAACCAGTGGACATTTTATAATGATGGACAATTGTGTCTCAATTTTGGAAGAACATAGTATTAAATTAAAATGTACTTTTAGAACCCTTGGTATAAAATAAGTATAACATTTATATTATTTAAGGGGTTATAAAAGTTCTTAATATATCAGTAAGCCTGGGCTAAATCCCTTTAAGAGACTTCTTGTTGTATAAGGTGCTGCGGGGTCATTTCCCATTCATAGTGATCCTACATAGAGTCTCCAAGGAGCAGTTGGTATGTTTGAACCACTGACCTTGCAGTTAGCAATTCAGTTTATTTATCCTACAGTGTCATACCAGGACTCTGAATATCACATAGACAATGAATATTTTTTTATTGTATAGCCCAGATGTTATATGGGATAGAAACTACTCATTGTTTGTTGGAAATTAAAAGTTAAAATCGGTATTGTTGAATCCAGCAATCTTACTTTCATCCCTTCTCCTTCCTTCAGGCTCATACTGATGCACGTAGAGAATCCTATTTCTTCCAGCACCCTCTTCTCTCCACCGAGACCACTGCAGTGACTTTGACAGTGCCCATCGAGGCCTGAGGTGGCACTTTTGGATAAGCATTGGACTGCTAACCACAAGGTTCACAGTTCAAATCCACCAGCCACTCCTTAGAAACTCTATACATGGTCACGCTACGAGTCAGTTAACAACAACAAGCCCCACCCACCCTGCAGCCAGCACCATGCGTCCCTCTGTGCTCAGCCTTCCACCAGCGCCCTTCATCTCACCCAGGATGTCCACATTCACCCTGAGGCCACTCCTCAAGGGTACCTGCTCATCCCTCCACTTGGAACATCTCCACTCCTACCCTAGTCTGGTTACCTCCAGCCTGTCCTTCAACTCTGGGCACAGGTTGAGATGCCTGAGAGTCCTTTACTGACCACCCCAATTGAAGAGCCCTCCCTGCTCTTTCCCACCAGAGTCTTACTGATGTTGTTGTTAAGTGTCATAGTGGTGGTTCTGACTCATAGCAACCCTGTTGTAGGGTTTCCAAGGAGTGGCTGGTGAGTTTGAACCTCTGACCTTGCAGTTCAAACTGACCTTGTGGTTCAGTGCTTAACCTACAGAGCCACACCAGGGCTCCAAAGATTTAGTGGTAGGCAATAGCTAAACAAACCAAGGTCTCTTTTACTTTATTTAAAGTTTCAGGCACAGCCACACACATATATTTTACGCTGTTATAAAGATAAATTACATGTTGTAAAAAGCATTTGAAAGTCAACCGGTTTAGCATTACAAAATAAGAAGTTGGGTTTTATAATTTAAAGTGTTTTCCCTCCCCATCTAGAAAAGTCACTACTTGATAGTATTTTTATTTTACAACCTTAATATATCAAATACTGATTTTTGTTGTTGTTTCTTTACCCCCACAAATGGATTCCATTATAGACAGTATCTGAGGTTGGAAAATAAATTTGCAGTTAAATATTGATGACTGATGCTATTGAGAATACCCTGTGATTCCAATTACTAGAAATAAAATCACTATAAGAACAGGGCCAGAGAACCCTTCTTGCCCCAAATTAACATATTTTATTAAATCTGAGGTGCCACAAATTTTAAGTTGTATTATTTTAAGTACTTCTGGTGTGGCGCTGTGGGCTAACGCATCAGGCTGCAAAGTCATTTGAACTGCAAGGTCAGTGGTTCAAGCTCACCAACTGCTCCTTGGAAACCCTATGCAGGGTCGCTATGGGTCGGAATCGACTCAATGGCATTTAACAGCAACAACATGAAAGGAAAACCACTGTTGAACATGACACATCATTGGCTGTAAGATATATCCTGATTTACAGATGTTAAAGTGTGAAAAATACGCCATTGAAATTAATGAAATAACTCATGAGAACCTTTAGAAATATTAGGGGACTTCAGAAGCTCATGGATAAATGGAATGAAAAGATAATGGAATTTTTCTATAAACTTTTTGAAGCCCCCTCATAATATATAACTCAAAAGATACAATCCTTACAGCCCACTAGTTCATTGAGTGTTTTACTAGCTACCACATTCCAGTAATATATTGTCTATGCATGACCCATGGAGAATTAGCCAAAGGGTTGGAGGTTTGAGTCTACCAGGAGGTGTCATGAAGAAAGAAATGCCTGGCAGTCAAAAAAACCCATTGAAAGCATAGTTCTTCTCTGATACATGAGTCAGAACCTGATCGTATACTTTGAAGGCAACAGAGGCCCAAAAGATTCAACAACTTTTCCAAGCACATTCTACTAGTAGGGTAGATGGGAACCCTGTTTTGTACTGGTAATTTGATAGTCGACATCTGACCTCGTAGTCACACCCATTTCTAAGTTTTCCCCAAGCATCTAAAGGCCCCCATGGTAAGAAGCAATCTAGAGCCTGAAAGTCTTAAGTTTATTGTTGTGTGGTGTCGTAAATTACTCAATTTGGCCATTTTAGCCACCATGGCCTTAGAACTCCCACACAGTAATTTGGTGGGACTATACAAATAAGTGTGGTTTGGAGCTATAGGATAAGCACTGGACTAGATTCAGTTCAAACCCATTCCTTGGAAACCCTACACAAGGTCACTAAGAGTCAGAACTGACTCAACAACACTTAGCAACAACATGCAAATGAGGTGCTTGTGATCCACCAAGGGGACTGGACAGCTTGCTAACAATGAAAATATGATGCATGGCACCCTTGTGGGGGCGTTGTTGTTGTTGTTAAGTTCCCTTGAGTCAGTTCTGACTCATAGCCACTCTGAACAGGGTTTCTAAGGAGTGGCTGGTAAGTTTGAATCAGTGACCTCGTGGTTTAAACGGACCTTGCAGTTCAAGGACCATGTAAATATGGTCTGTAGAACTGTAATGAGGTGATTGGTCAGTTTTACCATTTCGCTAGGCTTAAAATGAGCCACCCAAGAGTCAGAAAAGGTTGGGGTAGACCACCAGAAGTGGAGCATGTCCTTTGTACCCAGGGCCTCCATACTCAGAACCTCCTAGACCTAGGAGACAGGGAGAGTTGTCACACCGGAAATGGCACATGACAATGAAAAACGAAGAAACGGCGGCAGCAGTTGAACAAGGAGACCAGTGCAAGGCAGTGGGGTGGGCTTCCCGACTCACAGAGAAAGGAGGCTACAGTGGGTGTGCTGACCCATGGAGCAAGAGAGCAGAGTACCTTTGGGCTAAGGCTTAGGAGAGAGTAGGGTGCCCTCTGCAGAGGCCTCACTGGCCCAAGAGGCTGAGTGGCCAATGGGCGAGAGGCCGAGGGCCAGAGAGAGACCTGCTTCTTCCGTGACTAAGAGGCTGTCCTAATGGAATTATATCTGCTATGTCCCTAATCGAACCCAGAATCCTGACTACTGGCTGTGAGTTCACCCAGCAGAGAGATAGAGAGTACCCTGTGGAGGACAGCTATTGTCAGAATTCATAACAAGTGTGGAGGGTGGAGTTACGCTGGACCTTCACTTCACAGATGTCAGCCTTGGGCGGATGCTGATGGTGATTCTATTCTCCCCCACCTCCTGAAGTTACACAAGGAGATTTGACAATGCTGATTTGACTCAAACTTCCTTTTCTGTTCCCTTTCCTCCCTCTACCTTTCACCCAGTCGTTCCGCTATGGGAACTCCCTGGCATCTCCAAATATAAGAGGCAGTTTAGCTAAGTCTCTACTTACCAGGGTGGCTCAAAACCAGAATGCCCACCACCATCAATCCATCTACAGGTCTGAGATTCAGCCCAGCTTCTAAGGATACCTTGTACCTCAGGTCCCAGGACAGCCTGTGGCACAGGACTGACAAGTAATCTGTGTTAGCTAAGCAAATGTGACATGCATTATTTATGGAATGTATACTCTCAAACTTAGTTAAAATGCCTGCTAGTCATTAAAATCAGGCCATTACTGGCAAGATGTTCAAGATAAATTAAGAGAAAATGCAAGCTACCAAACAATATGAGTAACATGAGCCCATTAAAACATGTTTTACATTCAATGAGACAATGAGGAGCAGGAGACCATTTTTATTTTTTATTTTTTTTAAATCCTAACAGTATTAATTTCTGAGTGATTAGAGTAAGAAGCAGTTTAAATTTAAAATTTTCTCTACCATTTTCCCTATTAGCAATGCACACACACACAAACACAAAAACCCATATATTAAAGAGTCTTGGTGTAGTGCTGTGGGGCTAATGCTCCAGACTGCAAAGTTGCTTTGAACTATAAGGTTGGCAGTTCAAGCTCACTAGTTGCTTCTGGGAAATCCTTCATAGGGTTGCTATGGGTCAGAACCA